AGCTCTTTGTTTTATTGATCCTTTGAATTGTTTTTTTTGGTCTCTATGTCATTTATTTCTGCTCTGATCCTTACTATTTCCTTCCTTCTACTTGCTCTGGGGTTTTCTTTTTGTTTGCTCTCCAGTTCTTTAAGTTGTAAGGTTAGAGAGTCTATTAGAGATTTTTCTTCTTTTTTGAGGTAGGCCTGTAGTGTTATGAACTTCCCTCTCAGAACTGCTTTCGCTGCATCCCATAGATTTTGTGTTGTTGTGTCTTCATTTTCATTGGTTTCCAGGAAGTTTTTGATTTCTTCCTTGATCTCCTCGGTGACCCATTCATTGTTTAATAACATGCTATTTAGCCTCCATGTGTTCAAATGTCTTTGTATGTTCTTCTTGCAATTGATTTCTAGTTTCATGCCATTGTGATCTGAGAAGATGCTTGATATAATTTCAATCTTCTTGAACTTGTAGAGACTTAGTTTGTGCCCTAATATGTGGTCTATCTTTGAGAATGTCCCATGTGCACTTGAGAAGAATGTGAATTCTGTAGTTTTGGGGTGTAGTTCTCTGTAGATATCTATTAAATCCATTTGGTCTAGTGCTTCATTTAGAGTCTCTGTTTCCTTGCTAATTTTTTGTCTAGAGGATCTATCCAGTGATGTCAGCGGGGTGTTGAAGTCCCCTGCTATGATTGTATTGCTATCGATTTCTCCTTTGAAGTCCTCCAGAAGTTTTTTTAATGTATTTTGGTGCTCCTATATTGGGTGCATATATGTTTATCAAGGTTATATCTACCTGTTGGATAGATCCTTTCAATATTATGTAGTGGCCTTCTTTGTCTCTAATTATGGCCTTCATTCTGAAATCTATTTTATCAGATATAAGTATTGCTACCCCAGCTTTTTATTCTGTTCTGTTTGCTTGGAAGATTTTTTTCCATCCCTTCATTTTGAATCTATGTCTTTTGTTGTGAGGTGGGTCTCTTATAAACAACATATAGATGAGTCATGCTTTCTTATCCAATCATCTACTCTGTGTCTTTTTATGGGAGCATTCAGTCCGTTTACATTTAAGGTGATTATTGATATTTATTGCCATTTTTGTTTAGTGTGGTTCTATTTTCCTTCCCATTTCTCCTGGTAATTACAGCAGTCCTTTTAACATTTCTTGCAGTGCTGGTTTGGTGCTAATGTATTCCCTTAGCCTTTTTTTTGTCTGGGAAGCTCTTTATTTGACCTTCTATTTTGAATGATAGCCTTGCTGGGTAGAGTAGTCTTGGATTCAGATCCTTGTTTTTCATGACTGTGATTACTTCATGCCATTCCCTTCTAGCCTGTAGTGTTTCTTGTGAGAAGTCAGCTGAGAGCCTTATGGGGTTTCCTTTGTAGGTAACCTGTTGCTTATCTCTTGCTGCTTTTAGGATTCTCTCTGTCTTTAATTTTTGGCAGTTTGATTACTATGTCTTGGTGTGGGCCTGTTTGGGTTCTTCTTACTTGGGGCTCTCTGTGCTTCTTGAACTTGAATGCCTTCTTCCTTCACCAAATTAGGGAAGTTTTCTGTCACTATTTCTTTGAATATATTCTCTATCCCTTGCTTATTTTCTTCTTCTTCAGGGACTCCTATGATGAGAATATTATTCCGTTTCCAGTTGTCCCACAGTTCTCTTAAGCTGTCTTCCTGTTTTTTAATCGTCTTTTCCTTTTGGTTTTCTGATTGGTTGATTTCTTCTAGCCTGTCTTCTAATTCACTGATCCGGTCCTCAGCTTCCCCTACTCTGCTTTTTAGACCTTCCGATGTGTTTTTCATTTCTGATATGTCATTCTTCATTTCTTCCTGTTGGTTTTTAATTTCCAACTGGTTGATTTTCAACATTTCTATGTCTTTACTCATGGTGCTCATGTCCTTACACATGCTGCTGAGCTTTCTCAACATCATGGCTCTAAATTCTAGTTCTGTTAACTTGCTTAACTGCACCTCATTTATCTCATCTTCCGTAGAGGTCTCTTGTTCTTTCATTTGGCTTTTGTTTCTGTTTTTCACCAGTTTGGCTATCACAGTGGGCTTTGGATTCTGCCAAATTTTCCCTGTGGGTGTTGGTGTTCTGCTGTTTGTGGCTCCCTCTCCTGGGTTTGGATGCGCCAAGGAGGACCCACTTTAAACACCACCGTCAAGTCTTAGCTTTTCTGGTTAGTGTTGCTAGCCCAGGGAATGGTAGTTATCCTCTAGCTTTTTTTGCCTGGAGGCTATTAGTAGAGGTCACCTGCAGACCCTTGGTTTCTGAGATGCCTGAAAAACTTCCTCAGGTGCTCAGTGTAAGAGGATTTCCTGAGAGTGAGGCAGCTGTTGGTTGTTAATGCGCCTCAATTAGCATTTCAATGGCCACCAGGTGGGGTTGAGTCTCTGAGGGAGGGGCCGCCACCTCTCCCCAGGGCTCTGGGAGGGAGTAAAACGACCACAGTCCTGCGTGGCTGCACTCAGCGAGAGCTCTTAGCACCCTCCAAAACCCGAATGTCCCCACACAGTTCTAGTCCAGTCTGCCTTGCCTCTGCCGGAGCCCAAGGTGAGTGGCTGCTGCCAATTTAGCCTCTGTCTGGACTCTGCGTCGTGGAGCTGCCTGGGACTTTTAACCCGAGGGCGCTGCTTCCAGCCAAGGGAGGTCCGGCTGGGGTTCCAGCCAACGGCGTTGCACTCAGCAGAAACCCCAGGACTGAGCCGCCGCGGTAGCGGAACACTGCAGAGGTGGCAGTAGCTTCCAGCACAGTCCCTTGGTTTCTGTGAGTCTGTGCGGCACCTGCCGAGGGCTTAGCACGCAGAGTTCGTGGGACTCAGCCTTGGTAGCAGTGTCCCACCGAGTCCCCTGGTCCCTGCGAGTCTGTGAGGCACCAGCCGAGGGCTTAGCAGGCAACAGAGTTCCCAGGACCCATGCAGGGTCGTAAGGGAGGTGGTAGCAGTAACTTCCAGCCGAGTTCCCTGGTCCCTGCCCAGGCCGCTGCGGACTGTGGGCTCCCGGACCCCTCTCGCGTCCTCGCAAGCCTAACAGGATTGAGTTGGTGTCCCTGGTTGTGTGTTCCTCCAAGGTGTCTTTCGGTTGCCCCTTCCTGACGATTTGCCTTTATTTTCGTTGTAAATCCAGTTTGGTCCTGGGAGATGGTCTGTGTAGCTCCATTCACTTCGCCGCCATTTCGGTTCCTCCAAAAATTCTTATATACTACTAATGGGAGTGTTAGTTGATATAACCATTCTGGAAACAATTCGAAATTATCTATAGTAAAGCTATTAAGCATATGGTTAAGGAGTTAAATGAAATATGAACATAATGGGAAATAAAATCTTCATAATAATGAACCAAACATAATTTTAGAACTAAAAAAAAATATTATTTCTGAAATGAAAAAGCTTCACAGCAGAGAAGACCAAAGATCAGTAAACTCTGCAACAGGGCAACAGAACTGATCCAAACTAAAGCACTGAGAGAACTACAATGAAAAAACCAAGTTTAGTGATCTGTGGAGACAATATCAAGTGGGCTAACGTGAGTGCAGCTAGATCCCAGGAGGAAAGGGGGAGGGAGGGAGATAGATATTGGGTCAAGTAAGAAATCTGAAGACATGGTGGCCAAAACTTTTCCAAATTTGATAGAACAGTATAAACTCACAGGTCCAAGAAGTTCAATAAAATCCGAACAAGTGATCACAAGTAGCAGCATGGCGATTATTCTCTATAAGCTTACAATGCGTTAATACTAAACTCTTCTAAATACGTTTTTAAATGACCTGATGACATTGCCCTGGCCAGTTTGGCTCAGCGGTTAGAGTGTCGGCCTGTGGACCGTAAAGTCCCGGGTTCGGTTCCCGCTAAGGGCACGTACCTTGGTTGCAGTTTGTCTCTGGCCCCGATTGGGGTTGTGTGGGTGGCAGCCACTCGGTGTTTCTCTCTCCCTCCCGCTCTATCTGAAGGTGAATGCAAAAATGTCCTTGGGTGAGGATAAAAAAAAAAAGATCTGATGACAGAAATTCCACCCCCACACTTTTAATATGACACATTTCCCGGTTAAGTTACAAAAACTAGTACTGCTGGACACTACCATGAGCACAAACATGTGACTGGAAAGGATACATGAAGCCCAGAGACCACCCTCTAAGAGAGAGACCCGACCCCTCTGGCTTCCAGTGAGATTCCTGACACACACAGCTACACAAATCATTGCTCTGAGGCCTGTGCTTCTTCCTCAATCAGTTAACATTGTTCTAAAATATTATTTTGTTTTATCAAAGAAAGCAAGCATTACATAAGATATAAAGTTTTCAAAGTAATAAATCTAATTTTATCCCCTGTTATGACACAATTTTCAGAAATACACTGTAAGCAAAAGAGAACCAGAGTTTGGGTATTTTTACTGTGGGATGTTAATATCACAAAACATTTTTTATATTTCCCATACTATGTTACCATTATTAAGTCTTGGAACTTGTTTCTACTCACCAACCATGGTGCATAGCTTGTTTTGTAAAAGAAGTCAATGAGCCCTGGGTGTCATTGCTCAATGGTGAGAGCGTGGGCCCAAGCAACAAAGGGTTGTGGGTTTGATTCCCGGTCTAGGGCACATACCTGGGTTGCAGTTTTGATCCCTGGCCCTGGTTGGGGTGCATGGGGAGGCAACCAACTGATGTGTGTGTGTGTCTCTCTCTCCCCCTCCCTCCCTTCCACTCTCTCTAAAAAAGTCAATGGAAAAAATATCCTCAGGAGAAAATTAACAAACAAAAGAATTCAATGATAAAATCAGTATAATTTATAAAGAGCCACTTTTTAGAACAATGTATTCATTTATTAAATAAGAATTGCTTATCACACAATACATTATTTTCTTTAATCATCATACACAGCTCTCTCTTACATTAAGCAGAAAAACATTGTATTTTCTTTATCTTAAGATATTTGATGAAATTTTAATAAAATATTTATCTTAAAATGTCAATTTGTTTTGTTTCAAAACATGTGAAGGGCTGAGATTAATCCTGTCTTTTTAGAATGTTTTAGAAAACTGAGCTGTGGGCCTAAATACAGTTGAGAACTCACAAGATTAACTGCAAACAGAAGAGACAACTTTCAGCAACAAACACAGCAGGTAAAGAACACACACTTGCACGCCACACAACTTGGAAGGTCAGGTTTAGGAGCAGCCACCAGGGCGGGTGCTGCTGAGCGGGAACAAGGCCATAGTCTTCTTGAGCTCCTTGTAGCTCCAGTGCAGCTGCTCCACCTCAGCCCTGTGCTGAGCCCGCACCTGGCCCAGCTCCTGCAGGAGGTGCTCGTTGGTGCTGACTAGGGAACTGGAGAGAACACAGGGCAGCCATGTCCTGGCTCTGCTCCTGTTCTCTCCAGAAGCATCCTCCCTCACCTGGTCACGCCTGGCCAAGCCTGCCACTGACACCACACACCCAAGCCATGCCCAGGCCCCAAAACCTGTCCCTTCCTGCTCCCTCCTGGTGACTCCCATCTGTCCCTTGCCTCCAGACCAGGTGGGGCTGGGTCTGACTCAACCCCTGAGCCATCACACTGCCTTGCAAGCACTGCCCAGCACCCATGGAATGGAGCCATGACTCAACATGAATAGATGGGTCCCTCAATGCCCTGGCCATGCATACTCTATTGAGAAGGCTGTCATAGGCAATGGCCAGCAAAACAATGTTCTAATTCTAGAAAAGTTCCAAACACTGAAGTATTTCTAATTCCTAGTCAAATATAAAGGACCTTCCTAAAAATCCTGACATTGTAATAGTACAATTGAAGAGTCCTGATTTTTAAATACTGTTAACCATTTTTAATTGTAGAGGGGATTTCAGAAAGAAAGTGGTATTGTACATAGCCAAATTGGCCTACTCACCTAGTCAGCAATGACTCAAGCACATTTGTTGCATCTCAAGAAATAGGTGAAAGTAGGGCCATTTTCTCCACAAATGTCTCCTCACTGAGCCCCTGTGCAGGTGGCAGCCCTGTTTGCTTGAACCACTGAAACAGCTATTGACCAGGCAGAAGCTCAGAGTGGATATGTCCTTTGAGAACCCCACTCTGCAGCACTTAGAGGCTCTGTACCCCTGCCTTGTCCATATTAATCCCATGGTGCCAGTACCTTGTGACCTGCCACAGACGGGGCCACTGGACTCCAGGGAGTGACCTGGCTTTGCCTACCACTTCCCTGCACCATGACTGTATCTCATTTCCCTTCCTTTTGCTCCTTCATCTAGTCTCAGCTCAGTTCCACTGCTCAGGGAACACAGACCCACATCACCACTCACCATCACTCACATGATCCTCACCTCTCAGGTCACACCTCACAGAAAACTGCAGCACAAAGGGACATGCTTTTCATTAAGAAAGGGGAGCTTGCCCGGCCAGTGTGGCTCAGTGGTTGAGCATCAACCCATGCACCAAGAGGTTGCCGGTTCGATTCCCGGTCAGGGCACATGCCAAGGATGCGGGCCCAATCCCCAGTGGGAGGCGTGCAGGAGGCAGCCAATCGATGTTCTCTCTCATCGATGTTTCTATCTCTCTCCCTCTCCCTCTAAAATCAATAAAGAAAAAAAGCCCTGGTTGGTTTGGCTCAGTGGTTGCCCGCGGACCGGAGAGGCCTGGGTTCGGTTCCTGCTAAGGGCACATACTTCAGTTGCAGCTTGTCCCCGGCCCCCGTTGGGGTTGTGTGGGTGGCAACCACTCGATGTGTCTCTCTCACATTGATGTTTCTCTCTCTCTCATTCCCTCTCTCCCTCCTTCTCTATCTGACAATAAATGCAAAAAATAAAATAAAATAAAAAAATAAAGAAAAAAAATTTAAAAAAGAAAAAAGACAGGGGAGCTCATGGAAGTGCTAAGTCAGCATAGCAGCACATGTGGGGCCAGAACACACCAGCAGCTGCTGCTCCTGCACCTGCCCCCTGCCTCCCCTCACGGCCCCGCCCCTACACCTCCCTGTGCCCCAGGCACCTGTGGCTCTCCTGCAGCATCTGTGTGAGCTCCTGGACCTTGTCGTAGTGCTCCAGGTGCTGCTTCAACTCCACGATCTCATTGGAGAGCCTCTTCAAGTTTGTCTGAAGCCCTGAAAAACAAGTAGCAATTCATTTATAACATCTGGAAAACTAAAACAATTCTAGAGTTTAAACTGAACCTGGGACACAAGAAAAAGAAAAGGTCAATTTTTGTAAGCAACTCAAAGACACGGGTGGGTACATCCAGTAGTTCTACCCCAGGGTCCAGCTCTGGCTCCCTCCTCGGGGTTGAAACTGCAGGAAGCCACCCTGCAGATGTCCCTGAGGACCCGCATCCCTGTGTGAAAGGCAGAGTGATGACAGAGGTGGGCCTGGCACCAGGTAAATGCTCTCTCCACTGGGCGTGCCGGCTAGCAGGGGAGGGCCTCAGGTGTCTCTTCCACAGAGTGGCAGCAATGTCTGCTGAGGGGACGGCCTGCAGCTTGGAGGAGAAGCAAATGGAAGCCCACTGTGACCACGTCCATCAGTGCAGAGCATGTATCTGAATTCCATTTATATGACTGTTGCTTCTCTCTGGGTTTCCTTCTCAAGGCGGGGTGGTGGGGTGTGGGGGAAGAAATATACTATTTAATGGCTCAGAAATCCCAAACCAGGACACAAACTACTCCACATGTAGACACACCACTGCACAACCACAGAGCAGCAGAGGCAATGAGAAAGCCAGCGCAGAAAGACAATGGGCCGCAGGATGCCAACACTGACAGCGGGTCTTTCTCACAATGATTGCCCCTGTGATGGAGGGGCGTCCTCCTGCAAGAAAACCCTCGGGCAAGAAAACCCTCGGGCAAGAAAACCTTAATCAGAATCTGTGTCCACCCAAACTTCCCTAGGGGGCACCCTGAAAGAGCTTCTGGGAAGGACAGTGGCGGCATGGGTCAGATCCCCAGAACCCCAGACATTATAGCCCCTGGTGATAAGGCAGCCACAGCCCTGCATGGTATCCACACATGCGCAGGTGCAGCGCTCAGCAGTGGGGTGGCTGGCAGACAGTGTCCCATTTTCATGGGAAATCCTCTCAGGCAAATTAGGGAACCAGGGCTGGCATGAGGGAGGTTCAGCCTCCTCTAATGAGGTGAACCCGGGGGTGGGGGTGTCCTGTGTAATCTGAAGGGGCTAGAGCAACCCATGACCCCTTGGGGCCAACCTGCCTGGTACTTTCTAGAACAGGGCTATTCTGCAGAGAAACAGCTGGTGAGGGGTCCAGGTTAAACCGGACAAGACACCAGAGAGAAGCGAGGAGGGAACAGGGAGGGCAAAGGAGGCCGCCGATATTTAACTGTGAGGTTAGAGAAGCTGTCTGACCTGATCCTTCTAGAAATTCAAGAGAACAAACTTCACGTGACAGTGAATAGAAACGTACTGAGGTCAAACCACACATGCGTTACTGTACGAGCACAACAGCAGCCCTCAGACAATGAAAGCCACACCCAGAACAGATCAAAACACAACTGTTTCAGAATGAACTAGAATCAGACAGTCAGAAAGGAGGTGGCCGAACTCAGGCAAGAACACAGAATGAAGGCTGAACTAGAAGGAACCAAGAACAGTGAAACAGAAGGCAAAAAGGGGAAAAGTTTTTTTTTTTAAAGATTTTTAATTGTATTTTAGACAGAGAAGAAGGGAGAGGGAGAGATACATCGACGTGACAGCGAAACATTGATAGGCTGCCTCCTGCACACTCCCCACCAGGGATCAAGTCCACAACCTAGGCATGTGCCCTGACCAGGAATTGAACCGGCGACCCTTCAGTGCATAGGATAATGCCCAACCGAGTCACACCAGCCAGGGCAAAAAGAGAAACTCTTAAAATAAAAATTTAGCTCTCATTGGTGTGGCAGTTGACTGGACATCGTCCTATGCATCAGGAAGTTGCCAGTTCGATTCCCAATGGGGGGTGTGCAAAAGGCAGCCAACTGATGTTGCACTCTTGCATCGGTGTTTCTCTCTCCCTCTCCTTTTTCTTTCTAAAGCTCAATAAACTGACCCCCTTCCACTCCGAGGGAGAAGCTGTTGGCGAGAATGGGTTCTGAGCCCCGCTAACAGATTCCCCAGCCCGCTGGCACTTTAGTCCTGGGGCTTGGGAGTCTTCGGGCTGGGTGTGGACAGGGCACTCGTGGTATGAAGGGGTAGGGGAAGATGGGGTGCGTGGCTCCGGAGGGGAGCAAGGCACAGAAGGGACTGCAAACTAGGCACTGGTTGCCAGCGCACTGGGTGTTTGGTGCTGCACGGCAGTTTCCGTTTTCCACTCCTGGGGGAAAGGAGGACGGAAGAGAGCCTCGAGGGATGTAGGGGCGCAGCAGTCAAGCTGTTGTCCAGCTCCGAGTTGCCCTGGACCTCGATTTAGGTCCTACCAAAAGCATATGAGTTCTGTTTGAGTTTTAGGTCATAAGGATAAAACTGTAACAAACTTATCTTTCTTATGAGTAAGTTATCTCAGGCCTTCAACTTTTGTCACTAACAGCTTCACGAGCTCATCACTCAGGCATTTTGAGACCTAGGGCATGGGGAGGATGTTGTGTTTTGTTGTGATGCATTCACAGAAGTCAAAGGGTTAACATGGTTTACCCAGGGTGAGGGTGGATGGCAAAGACACAGCCAGTAAAGCACATGCAATACACCTGATGGCTGTTATTGCTTATCACCTGATGTTAAAGTCTTAAAAAAAGCACCACCCAGAAACCTCAGTGCATAATTGTGCATAAAGCATTTACATTAAGAGTGAAATAATTATGCAGCTGTCAAAACAGACATCACAGTGGTAGGGCAATAGATACAGGTGTAAAGGACAATTTATGATGTTTCATTAAGCCAGAATCTACTTAATAATTTTTACAATCATTCTTCAGTTTGTCACAATGCCAGCATTCTGGGGGTGGGGTGGGGGGAGCAGGTTTTTATGCCAAATTGGGAAACTTTGCAGGTTTTATCCTCAAAGAAGGATAAAATAATGACTATAGCTACCTTGTAAGTATCCTCTTAAGGTCAGTATGTGAGCTGTTTTATTACCTTTTCTCGTTTAAACCTCATAGTAATCTACTTTTATAGATGGTGAGGGAGGTTTTCAGAGTATCAACCATTTGTCATACAACTAATAAACTGTTTAATTAGAATTACAATCTAGGGTTTTCTGACCACTAGTTTATACCTCTTCCCTAAAATGATCATAATTGCATTTTGAACTGCAGGCACTGTGGTGTTGTGGAAAGTTGATGAGATCTGGAGTCTTGAAGGCGAGAATGAGGGGATGTTTTAGTCTGGTTCTGTCATCTAATAATTTTGTGGTTTGGGGCTTAACTTTACACTCTTTAAGCCTCCATTTTCTTACCTGTAAAAGTGGAGGACATACAGCTGCCTTAAATAATTGTCCTGAGGATTAAACAAGATAATATATGTAAAGCCTCCTTTTTGGTGCCTAGCATTTGTTAGGCATTATACTACTACACACTACTAATGATCTAATTTTCTCAGGAAGGACTCTTTATGGAACATTACATGGTGGGGGGGGGGGGGTATCAGAGATGCCTCTGCTGTTGTCAGTTACCATTAACAACAGCTTGTATAGGCAACTTTCATTTGATTATTTTCACCTGTTCGAGGTACTTTAAATTGTGGATATTTTTTTTCTTTAGGATTCTTTTTCACCATGCAGACGAAAAATAAAGCTCTTCTGAGAAAAGGAGTCAAACTGGTCAGTTTTGCTCTTTGTTAATGGAAAACAGCAGTTTATGTTCAATAAAGCAGATAAGAATTTTGGATTAAAAAATAATAAAAATCAATAAACTATTCTTTAAAAAAAATTTCAAAAAGAGAAAATTGTAAACTGTTACCACTCAATAAACTAGCCCAATAAACACAATAGGCAAGGACAGACCCGGGCGACTCTCCATGGCTGCACTCATGTGACAAAGGCCACAGTAAAGCTTTGAAATATCTACTATCTGCACCTTTAAAAAATATATATACACACACACACACACACACACACACACACACACACATATATAGAGAGATTGATTTTTAGAGAGAGAGGAAGGGAGAGCGATAAAGAACTAGAAACATCGATGTGAGAGAGAAACATTGATCAGCTGCCCCCTGCACATCCCCTACTAGGGACAGAGCCTGCAACCCGGGCATGTGCCCTTGGCAGGAATTGAACTGGTGACTTCTTGGTCCATGGGTTGATGCTCAACCACTGAACCACACTGGCTGGGATACTATCTGGACCTTTAAGTAAAAGATTTTGGCTCCCTAAGATGTGAGAATGAAAAAGATGCCCAACCTGTCCTTCCTCAGTGAAACAGAAGACGTTCAAGAGACCCCCATTTCACGGAGAGAAAGTTACCATGGAAAACAGATACCACCACCACCTCCTCATTCTAAAGCCCAGTATCTGATCCTGAAATACCGACGTATACTTTTGTAAAATGGCAAAACAGAATCAAAGAAAGTGAAGAGACGAAAATGAAAATGATCTGGGTCTGGCAGGCACAGTGATCAGGAGAAGGACCATTACACCTTCTGTGGACAGACAAGGCTGAGCAGCAGTGCTATTACCCTGCACATGTCAAAGGGCAGACAGGCGAGCACCACAGTTCATGGTGCCACAGCCATGAGATGACCCCTGAGCTCCTAAGGGGTCAAAGGAATGGAGCAGTGAGGACCTGACAGAGCCCACGGCCGAGGCACCTCTCCTCAGGCACAACTCCCCTTCCATACACACGAGGTGCCATGAGCGAGTGTGCACATCGCTCATGAACCAAGACAACTCCCAGAATAACCAGGGGTGTGGGCTCCAACAGCCACTGTACAGTGTTTGCTGGTTCTGAATTTTGTGAATAATTGAAAGTGAAGTCTCATGAGTGTCTGAACACTTATTTTTCACCAACTAGTGGTACCAAACAGACCACAAACTCACCAGTGATCTGCAAATTTAACGCAGCTGAAGCATCTGAATTTTTTACTTCTTTTTTCATGCTGGACAAAAGAGACTTTAAGCTACTATTCTCCTCCAAAGATTTGTCTAAACGTTGCCTCAAGTCATCCTAAGGACACAGAATAATACAATTAAAAAAGGTAAGTAAAATTCAGCAAAATGCATATAGAAAATTAAATAAAACCCTTTGAAGTAAACACAGGTATGAGTTTCCTTTTACATATAAGAATTTCTAAATCACAATGTTAAAAGCTGTACAGTTATGTGTCACTTAACAACAGGGCTATGTTTTGAGAAATGCACTGTCAGGTGATTTTGTCATTTTGCAAACATCAGAGGCACATACATGTACCTAGATGACACAGTCCACTATACACCTAAGTTATGTGGTACCATCTGTTGCTCCTCAGCTACAAGCCTGTATAGCATGTCACTGTACTGAATAATGGTTAAGTATTTGTGTCTAAACATACATAAACACAAAAAGGTCTTTAGTAAAAATACAGTATAAAATATAAAAAATGGTCCACACATGTAGGACACTTTCCATGAACAGAGCCCGCAGGACTGGAAGTTGCTTTGGTGAGCCAGTGAGTGGTGAGTGACGGGAAGGCTTAGGACATCACTGTACACGACTGTAGACTTTATAAACACTTCACACTTAGGATACACTAATTTATAAGAAATATTTTTCCTTCAATAATATATTAACCTTAACTTATAACTTTTTTACTTTATAAACTTTAAATTTTTGTAACTTTTTTTTTTTTTATCCTCACCCGAGGATATTTTTCCATTTTTTGTACAGATAGAATGGGAGGGAGAGAGAGGAAGGGAGAGAGAGTGAAAAACATCGACGTGAAGGAACACATCGAGTGGCTGCCACCCGCACGACCAACCAGGGCCGGGGACAAACTGCAACTGAAGTACGCGCCCTTAGCGGGAACCGGACCCGGGTCTCTCCAGACCGCAGGCCGACACTCTAACTGCTGAGCCAGTTGCCGACGCTCTAACCGCTGAGCCAAACTGGCCAGGGCAATTTTTGTAACTTTTTGACTCTTGTGTAATAACACTGAGCTTCAAAGACAAACGCTGTACAAAAATCTTTTCTTTCTTTATATCCTCATTCTATAGGCTTTTATTTCCAAAAAACTTTACCCCTTTTAAATAAACTTTTTTGTTAAAAAACGAAGACACACACACACACACATTAACGTAGGCTTACACAGGGTCAGGATCACCTATATCACTGTCACCCACCTCCACATCTTGTCCCACCGGAAGGTCTTCAGGGGGCAACAACAGGCACGGAGTGGTCATGTCCTATGACAATGCCTTCTTCTAGAATACCCCCTGAAGGACCTGCCTGAAGCTCTTCTTGAGGACTTACTCTTCCTAAAAATATGACCATGGTGGTTTGCTCGGTTTCTTCTTTTTCTTTTTAAATGTTTTATTGATTTTTAGAGAGTTCGGGAGAGGGAGAGATAGAAACATTGATATGAGAAACATTGATCGGCTGTCTTCTGCACACCCCCTACTGGGGATCGAGCCTGCAACCTGGGTATGTGCCTGCTGGGAATCAAACAGCCTATCTCTTGGTGCACGGGTCAATATCTCTTAGTGATACTGATTTTATTTCCTATGGGTATCTACCCAGAAGTGGATTGCTAGATCATATGGCAGTTACATTTTTAATTTTTTGAGGAAATTCCATACTGTTTTCCATTGTGGCTACAACAATGTACATTCCCACCAAGAGTGCACGAGCGTTCCCTTTTCTCCACACCCTTACCAGCACTTGCCATTTGTTGACTTACTGATGATAGCCATTCTAACAAGTGTGAGGTGGCATCTTATTATGGTTTTGGTATGCATTTTCCTGATGATTAGTGATGTGGAGTACCTTTTCATATACCTGTTGGCTACTTGTATGTCCTCTTTGGAAAAATGTCTATTTAGGTCCTCTGCCTATTTTTTTAAAAATGTTTTTATTTTATTTTTTTAGAGAGAAACGGAGAGATAGAAATATCAATCAGCTGCCTCTTGCATGCCCCCTACTGGGGATTGGCCGGCAACCCGGGCATATGCCCTGACCGGCAATCAAACTGGGACTTCTCAGTCCATGGGATGACACTCAATCCACTGAGCCACACTGGCTGGGCAGCCTCTGCCCATTTTTTAATGAGGTTGTTTCTTTTTTCTGCTGTGGAGCTATATGAGTTCTTTCTGTAGTCTGGATATTAACCCCTTATCAAATATATAGTTTAAAAATATTTTCTCATTCTATAGGTTGCCTTTTCATTCTACTGTTTCCTTTGCTGTGCAGCAGCCTTTTAGTTTGATATAGTCTCACTAGTTTATTTTTGCCTTTGTTGCCTGTGATTTTGGTGTCATATCCAAAAAATAATTTCTAAGTCCATGTTAAGAAGCTTTTTCTTATGTTTTCTCTAGGAGTTTTACAATTTGAAGTCTTACATTTAAATCTTTCATCCGTTTAGAATTAATTTTTGTGTACACTGTAAGACAAGGGTCCAGTTTCATTCTTTTGCCTGTAGCTCTCCAATGTTCTCAACATCACTTATTAAAGAGATTATCCTTTTCCCACTGTGTATTCTTGATATCCTTGTGGAAAATTAGTTGACCATATATACTGGGGTTTATTTCTGGGCTCTGTATTCAGTTCCATTGATCTTTGTGTCTATTTTTATGCCAATATCATACATATTGCTTTGATTACTATAGTTTTGTAGAACTTGAAATGAGGAAGTGTGATACCAGAACTCTGTTATTTTTCAAGATTGCTTTGGCTATTTGGGGTCTTCTGTGGAACTAGAAAAAGAATACAAATTATAAGAAAAATAATTACATGAATTTTAAAATGTAACTTTTTCTATTTCTGTGAAAAATGCCATTGAAATTTTTATTATGATTGTGTTTAATCTGTTTATCGATTTGGGTAGTATGGACATTTTTACAATATTAACCTTCCAACCCATGAATACAGGATATCTTTCCATTCATGTCTTCCTCAATTTCTTGCATCATAGTTTTCAGTGTTAAGATCTTTAAACTCCTTGGTTAAATTTATTCCTAATATTTTATTCTTTTTGGTGCTATTATAAATAGGATTGCTTCCTTGGTTTCCTTTCTGGATAAATTGTTGGCATAAAGAAATGCAACAGCCCTAGCTGGTGTGGTTCAGTGTCACACCATGGACCAGAAGGTCGCTGGTTCAATTCCCAGTGAGGGCATATACCCAGGTTGTGGGTTAAATCCCCCATTGGGGTGAGAATGGGAGGCAACTGATTGATGTTTCTCTCTCTCTCTCTCCCTTCCCCTCTCTCAAAAATCAATAAGAAAGAAAGAAAGAAAGAAAGAAAGAAAGAAAGAAAGAAAGAAAGAAAGAAAGAAAGAAAGGCAACTGATTCTTTTTTTGTATTCTGTAACTTCTCTGAACTTACTAGTTCTAACAGGTTTGGGGTATGTGTGTAGTCTTTAGGGTTTTCTATGTAAATGACCAGGTCATCTGCAAATAGAGAAAATTTTTCTTCTTCCTTTCCAATTTGATTACCTTTTTTCTTATCTGCTTGCTTTGGCTAGTACTACCCATACTACATTAAAATAGACTGTAAGAGCTCACTCATCTTACACTGGATCTTAGAAAAACAGCCTTCAATTTTCTTTCACTGATCACATATAGCTGTGGCTTTCTTTACATAAATGGCCTTTATGTGCTGAGAAAATTTTCTTTCATACTTAGTTTGTTGAGGTGTTTTTTGTTTTTAAATTATGAATGAAAGTTGAACTTTGTCAAATGCTTTTGCTACACCTATTAAGATGATCATATATTAATTTGCATATGTTGAACCCCAGCTTTGCATTCCAGGGGAAAATCCCAGTTGATCATGGTGTATAATCTTCTTGATGTGATGCCAAATTCAGTTTGCTAGTATTTTACTGAGGGTTTTTACATCTGTGTTCATCAAAGATACTGGCCTATAGTTTTCTTTCACGAGGTGTCTCTGTCTAGCTTTGATATCAGGTGATGCTGCTTCATAAAATGAGCTTGAAAGTGTTACCTCTACTTTCATTTTTTTGGAGAAAGATCAGTATTAATTTTCTTTCAATGTTTGGTAGAACTCAGCCATGAAGCCATCTGGTCTGGGGCTTTTCTTTTTTTCGGAGCTTTTTGACTATTACTCAATCTCCATACTTGTTACTGGTCTATTCAGGTTTTATATCTTCTTGTTACAATCTTGGCAGGTTGTATGTTTCTAGGAATTTATCCATTTCTATTAATTATCCAATGTATTCACATATAATCATTCACAATAATCCTTTATGATTATTTATTTCTGATCTTTATTATTTTCTTCCTTCTGTTAACTTTAGGTTTAGTTTGTTGTTCATTTTTGAGTTCCTTAAAATGTAAATTTAGGTTACTAATTTGAGATCTTTCTTCTTTTATAATGTAGACATTTATGTGTGACGGTCTTATGGTGAGGTTACAAAGGACAAGGGCAGCCCTGACAGCCAGGAGTCTTGGACTCTGCTACTAGGCCCAGATGTGCAGGTTCTGGCTGCCCTTTGATGCCACCTAGTGGTGGAAATCCCCTGAAGTCCAATAGGACACTTTGGGTCTTATGCCTGATGCAGGCAGGACAGGAGTAGGAACCCTAGGATCACCCAGCCAACTGGAATCTCTCTCATCAGTGGTCTGGGGCACCTGGGTCAGGGAACATGAGGCCACAAAAACTCCACCTTAAGCCCAGCTTCATCTTCTCTCTGTCTCTCCCACTCACCCTCTCTCAGAAGAGAAGGCAGCCACTCAGGAGAGGCAGAGCTGGGAGAAGCGGTGATCCCTCCTCCATCTGCAAATTGCTGTTGCCGTGGAGTCTGGGAGTGACACAAAGTCAGGCTAGAGTCCCCACAGGTGGGGAAAGCCTGGTGGGGAGGGTTTGTGATCCTGGAAGAGCAAGAGAGGGGCCCCAGTGCTACAGCCTGACAGCAGCTAAGGGGAAGTGCAGATTGGAGAGTTTTCCTCGTTCTGTGAAGTCAAAACATCTATGAACAAAAGGAAACACAAGGGGTGTGGCTCACCATCTCCTTCTGAGTGTTGTTGAGCTCCGACACAACCTCACTCATCTTCTCACTAAACTGCTGCTGTTGTTCAACAAGGTGATTTTGCAAAGATTTATTTTCAAGAGTCAGATAGCCAATTTCTTCATTCACAAGTGTTGAATTGTCCTGAGCTGCTGTAAAATCTTGAACAGATGACAAAATATGTCTTGCCTGAGCTAGGAGTAAAAATCAAATATTATTATTGCATTTATGCTGAAAGGATAAAGTACAAACAAAATATGTTCACTACATCTTGAATAACACACACTATGTGCCTGAAAAACACTGACAGGCATGGAGACTGGCAAAGGAACAAGGGCTCCATTGAAATTACCTTCACTCAGGCTGTTTTACATCTAGTCAATGATGGGAGGCAGTAAAGAGCAGAAAGAGTTTTATTCTAGAGAAAAGGTAGCCCTCGGGAGAAGGCTATGACTTGGATGGCTGGGCTGAATGCCCTCGCCGTCCACCACACTCAACAGCCCTGACTGCTCCTGCGCCTGGCCTGACTTGCATGCAGACCCCATCCGCCAGCTCCAGGACTGGGAATAGCAGCCTGGTAGCACAGACCAGTCCTGCTGCTACCCGAATGAGAGGGTGCAGATTTATGGGGTCAGCATCCAGGGACTCCAGCTTCTTGGGGCATCCTGATTCTAGGAGGAGAAGCTGAGGGCCCACAAGACTGAGCAGGTGAAGTGCTCAGAACACCTGGTGGCGGCTAAGATGGCTGTTCCAGGCAGGGGCCATGGTCTGTTGGGAAGGAGAGAGCTGGCAAGTCCCTGCTCCCAATGGGACACTTAACGCTGCATCCCAGACTGTGGAGGAAAGAGGTGGCTCCCTGGGGATGCAGCAACCTGACTCTAAGGGATGGGGTCCCCAATGTGCTCCTGCACCCAGGCACCAGCTGGAAGCAAACCAAAGTCCTCTCAGGGGGAAGGGGCCATCCTCCTGCACCTCAGTCATTTCCATCAAAATCTTGGCAAATCCTGGGTCCTCCGTGCGATCAAACTCTCAGAAGATTCAGAGAAGACAGCAGCAGCTTTCTGATCTCTCCAAATCCCCATGTGAAAACAAAGCCACGAGAACCAAATACCTGTGAATGGCACTTCCAATAAAATCAGGCAAGGCATCTCACCAAACACAAGAGTCAGTGGCTGGGAAAACCCAAAGCCACACCCAGGGGAGCCCCCAGCTACTGAGAGGATGCTCCCTGCAGCCCAGCAGCCACAGTGATGGCTGATGAGGAAGGTGCAGCAATGTGGGGGACCCAGAACCTAATGGGAGAACAAGTACCTACTAACGCAATGCTACCCAAAGGGTGGGCCTGCACACGGCTCTGAACCGACGGGCTGACTGTCCCTGACTCACCCAGGAACACCTCATTGCTATGCAGGGACTTGCAGCCACTCCAGTACCTGTCCACCAGGTCGAGCAGTGCTTCCAGGAGTGCCATCTCTAGGGTGGCCTTCTTCCCAGGTGGCATAGCTGAGTGCAGCTTGGGAGACATCTACAATGGAAACAAAACCATGACACTGGCTTTCAGTTCCAGAAACACAGACTTCTAACGCTGCATGCTCAACATGCCCACCATGCACCATGCTGATGCCTCTGTTCATGGAGACTGCATGACGGGGCTGTTCACAAATTCCAAGGGAGTGACTCAAAGGATTCACCTCCCCACCCCCTGGACATGTGACCATGGGTGGGTTACAAGAGCTTAGTGCCCTGAGTGTCCCCAACTGTGGGGTGGGGATGACATCTCACACCAGGAAGAAAGGTTAAAGGAGGAAGAGAGTGACCGAAACTATAAGGCATTACACCATGTGTCAGCACTGACGCATGGTCATGAAACCCACAATCACAGTCTAAGGGCTAAGGTATGGGAATGTCCCCTGTGGTGGCTGTTCCAGGTCTTCCGGACCAGTGCACAGTCTCAGCCTACATGGTCATATGCAGAAGAGGCTACCAGACAGAACTGGCCAGGCTGCACCATGCCCGAGCATACGTGCCCTCAGGGGCCTTGAAACAGTCTGCCATTGTCGGCACTCACCTCCATACTCTCTCTTTCCTCTAAGAAAAATTACTTCACCAATTTGAGAGAGTTCGTGAAGAAAGGGGAATGGCTTATGCTTTCCTGCTCACTTTCCCAGTGTTTAGGGCACACTTACTGTGTGTAGGGGATCTGGGGAGGGAATGCAGAGTAAAAGCTTACAGCTGTCCCACAAGCCATGACCACAGCTGAGGACAAAGGACTGTTTCCAGTTCTCCAGGAATCAGTTCCAGGCCAGCAAGAGCACCACCCTTCACTATTATTTACCAGGCAAAGGGACTTTCTACTGAAGAACTTCTGGAACAGCCGGTGAGACCCTGAGTGACAGAACCTGGGCCGGGGCAGGCAAAGCTGCTTCAGCTGGGATGCCCTCACCTCCCACCACTACTGCCTACCTCAGGAGAGCCTCACGAGCTTCAGGGAACACAGGGGTAGGTGATGCTCAGTCCCCAGGAGCAAGCCCACCAAGGGAACAGTTCTGCCCAGGTTCACACCAGGAGTGGGGCAGCCCGTATCCTGTAACCAGTCAGCACGGTAACCCTAAGGCCTGGCTGCCTTCCTCCCAGTGAGTGTTCGACATAAATACCTCCATCGGAAGCTGCATCTGGACACTTGGCCAGGGTGACAGAACCAAGGTCCTCAGAGTGGACATGGGCAGTCACTCTGATTTCCATTTTCCACCTTAGGAGCATGGGTCATGTCCTCTCCAAGAGGATGACCACTGCCCTGTCTGGTTTGGCTCAGCGGTTACAGCATCGGCCCGTGAGCCAGAGAAACCCGGGTTTGGTCCCCGCTAAGGGCACGTCTCTCTCTCTCCCTCCCTCTCTCCCTCCCGCTCTATCGGAAGATAAATGCAAAAATGTCCTCAGGTGAAGATAAAAAAAAGAGGATGACCACCAGGAAGTCATAGTCCTGAGCCGAGAGAGGGAGCCCTGGGCAGCACCTCTTCCTGTAAAGTCCCAACCCTACAGCAAGTGTGCAAGTGTGCTGGGTGCAGCTCAGCATCTGGCAACGTCCACCCCTGGCAGACGAGAAAAGCCTACACACATTCCCAGCTGCAGCACAGCCCCGTTTTCCTTCCTCCCCTCAACCTGGACAGTGAGACAGTGAGAGACTGCATGTAAGAATGGACGACAGCCAGGCCCTCTGTAAAAGCAGACTATGACCCACGACCTGCAGCGATCAGCTGGGAAGCCAGCCCACCACGTCCAGATCTCAATGCACGGAAGCACATTTCTAGCAAAGTAGAGAGGGGACAAAACTAAGGAAAAGTGCGTTTAAGTGCCTTATTTACCTCGGGAGCAGTTAATGTTGAAAATGGAAGATGTGGCATTACCGAAGACAGCAGCCTCTCCCTCAACTGTAACACCCAGTCCCCCAGCTCTCCACTCACCTCCCTGGCACCGCTCGTGCCATGGGGCCTCTGTCAACTATAACACCCAGTCCCCCCAGCTCTCCACTCACCTCCCTGGCACCGCTCGTGCTGTGGGGCCTCTGTCAACTATAACACCCAGTCCCCCAGCTCTCCACTCACCTCCCTGGCACCGCTCGTGCTGTGGGGCCTCTGTCAACTATAACACCCAGTCCCCCCAGCTCTCCACTCACCTCCCTGGCACCGCTCGTGCTGTGGGGCCTCTGTTCTTCAGGCTCAGATGCCTCCAAGTGAGAAAAGGTCCTTTCGCTCCTGCCCTCAGAGCTGTTCTGCCTGCTCAGATTCTCCTCCAGGCAGCTAAGACACTCCTGGTCTGCAGGCGCCTGGAATCTCCCACCAGGCATTCTTCGCTTCCTGTACCTTTCAAGAGCAGGCAAAGGATTTAAGACCTTTTGTGTTGACAAACTTGACTTCTGAGAAGAGGAAGCTGAGTCCTCAGCGTCTGTGGAGTCTGTAACAGAAGGGAGAACACGGCCCTCATCAGACCAAGTTCTCTGGGTGCAGCGACCAGTGCTACTGTTTTAAAAGGTGTGCATGTGTACGCCTGTGTAATTTGTGTGTGTGCATGTGCGCACATACAGAAAATCCATCAGTGACAAGACTGAAGTAATAACTTTAACAAATGAATTGGCTGATGATTATATGTTTTCTTGCCAAAATTATATATAGCAGATGAGTTCAGTGAGTGAAAACCTAAAATTCTGGAAATTAGAGGACTCAACAATTTGTTCCTATAGATTAACATTAGTACCTGGGACCCTCCCTACCCCAGGGGACACAACTCCACATCTGCTGACAAAGAGAGTGTGTGTGTAAATACATATGGACACATACATATGTATATACACGCAGACATGTACATGCACACCCAGGAACACACGTACATACACTGGGTAGGGGCAAGGGTACCACAGAGCAAATGTGGTCAGTGCTGACTTTGGGGGTCTGGATGAAGCAGATATGAAACTTCCTTGCTCTACTGTGGCAGCCTCTCTGTTGTCACTCTGGAAATTCTCAGGGACCACAGGTCAATAAAGGGGTCTAAACCTCAAGCACATGTACCTTTGTGAGCAGAGGTGAAATGATGAATTCTGACACTGATGGAAACGGGGTCCTGTGTACCCATACACCACACATCATTATGAAGTCTCAGGATACAGCGTAAAAGCAACCAGGACAATGAACGTAGAGGATGTAATAGGGTCAACACCACACCCTGCTCTGCAGTGGCCACAGGTACCTGGGCCGCTCATCACCACAACCCATCCCATCTCCAAAGGCCCCATGAACTCACCTGAATGAGCCTCAGGAAGGCGCTAGGTTCACTCATATTGGGAGGTTTTCTGACACTTTTGTCACATATGTGCACACAACACTCTCAATTAACTTATTTATTTTCCTCATCTTTAATTTTTAAAATCCAGCTATTGTCATAACCTGAGCCTGTGTAGTTATAAGAAATTGTGTGTGTGTGTGAGTGTGAGAGAGGAAGAAAAAGTGTTTGTATGATGTGTGTGTGTAGAGAAAAGCAACAAAGTACTCACAGACCAGGAATCTAAAATATGGATACATTCTAAATTTTTTTTTACCCTTACCTAAAGATATTTCCGATGGTTTTTAGAGAGGAAGAAAGGGAGAGAGAGAGCGAGAGAAACATTGATGCAGGAAACATCGATCAGTGTCTCTTGAACACATCCTGACCAGGAATCAAACTGACAACCTAGGTAAATAATCTGAATGGGAATTGAACCCAAAACCTTTTAGTGTAGGAGACAATGCTCCAACCGACAGAGCTACCTGACCAGGGTGGATGTATTCTAAATTTCAAGGTACATTGTTCTTTCCTAAGACATTTTAGAGAGTTCCACAAACAAATACATGTAATAAAGAGAGTAGGAGAAATGTTACATGCTTAGAGTCCACAGCAGCTATTGTGTGAGGTTACCTGGGGGTGGGGGGAAGTGCACGTGCTGCCCAAAGGAGCAGCAGGCCTCAGGCTGGTCTTCCTGCTGCGGCGGGAGCTCTCCACAGTACTGGTTCTGAAATCTCTTTTCTGGACAACACCCTCTGCAGCTGCTTTTTCTCTTCTCATGGCCATTCTTTATGGAATCCCCACACTGGTGCTGCACTGAGTGAGGACTCAACAGATGTCTGGATTCTATTTTATTAAAAAATATTTTTAAAGTTTTAGTTCATTAAAAATGACATTTTAAGCTTCCAAAAGTGTATTATATCTATTAAGTATATCAATTAAATAAGAAAGAGATGACTGAGTGGGTTAATCATGCAAGAGCCAAACCTGCAGTGAGCACAACAGTCACTGCAAACAGTGCTACAGGTGCAGGACTGACACTGACCAACCACCACTCACAACACAGCTGAGGAGCCAGGATAGTGTGGGATCAATACAAAGACAATGAGATGACAGATAAAGCAGCATCCAGAATTCAGAGAGACAGACTCAGGTCAACGGAATTAACAAATGTGCTAAGGTTATTGAATGAGAAAAAAGAAAGTATTTTCAACAAATGGCATTAGCACAAGTGGATATAGGGGTGGGGGTGAGGGGGAGACAGCCTGACCCATTTCACACTAAGGTCACAAATCCACTCTAAGGTGGACCACAGACCTGAACACTAGAACCACAGGACATCTACATGTCCATAGGAGAAAATCTTCACCAGCATGGGGCAAAGATTTTTTTACAGGGCACAAAAAAAAAAAAAAAAGCATAAATCATATAGAGAAAAAAACTGTTAAACTGGACTTCATTGAAATTAAAACTTCTGGTCTTCAAAGCAGTTAAGAAAATAAAAGGCAAGCAATACAATATGAGAAAATTTGCAGAACTTACATCTGAGAAAGGGTTGTGTTAAAAAAAATCATAAAACCCTGGCCGGTTTGGCTTAGCAGTTAGAGCGTCGGCTTGCGGACCAGAGAGACCTGGGTTCAGTTCCCACTAAGGGCACGAACCTTGGTTGCAGTTTGTCCCCAGCCCCGGTTGGGGTTGTGTGTGGGTGGTGACCAGTCGATGTGTCTCTTTCACATTGATGTTTCTCTCTCTCTCCCTCCCGCTCTATCTGAAGATAATGCAAACAAACAAACAAACAAACAAAAAAAACCATAAAGAACTCTTATGACCCAATACCAAAAGAAAATGGGAGGGGAACAGACTTGAGTAGAAATCTCACAATAGAGAATATACAAATGGCCTGTAGGTACATGAAGAGATTTTTATCATGGGTCTTCAGGAAAAATCACATTAAAATACTAATACATACGCAGAAAAACAGCCAGAATAAAAAAGACTGACAATACACCCTGGCTGGTATGGCTCCGTGGTTAGTGTCAGCCCTTGCACTGAAAGGTCATGGGTTCGATTTCTGGTCAAGGGCATGTACCCAAGTTACAGGTTGGATTGCCAGCCCGTTGGCAGTTAGGGTGTATGCAGGAGGCAACCACTCGATGTGTCTCTCTCACACTGATGTTTCTCTCTCTCTCTTTCTCCTCCTCCTCTCCCTTTCATACTCTCTTAAAAAAAAAAAGACTGAGAATACCAAGATTTGGTGAGGACACCCAAAGAGCAGATATCCTTGTGCCAGCAGGTGAATCCTGGGATTTCAGCCCAAACTTACACCTCAATCTGTTGTCTTCAGGAAAGGCTCTCACAAACTCAAAATGGAAGAAGTGGTGTTAAAGCCTACAGAAAAGTCCTAGTGGAAAAGAGCCCTTGGTAAAGTAATGAAGTTCATGCGTGCGCTAGGAAGATCTCACAATGTCCTTGTTGGGTTTAAAGTTCTCATGTGGCAGCCTGAGCTCTAAGTGCTCCCTAAAGCTAAGTGAACACCACCTTTGTGGCTGACAGACATCAGTCCCGCTAGCCATAGGACACATTGCATTCCTGCCCACTTGGACATTTTACCTCTTCCCTATAATTGTAATTGATCTGAGGAAAAATACAACTTCAAAAAAATTTTTTTTTCTTTCTTTATTTTTAGAGGAAGAGCGAGGGAGAGAGAGAGAGAGCGAAACATCAATGAGAGAGAGCATTGATTGGCCACCTCGTGCATGTTCCCACTGGGGGTTTGGCCCTCACTGGGAACTGAACCGGCGACCTCTTGGTGCATGGGTCGAAACTCAACCACTGAGCCACACCAGCTGGGCGGAAGAATACAACTTAAACCACCATGTAGTATGACTATACTCAACTTAAATACATGACTTTTCTTTTTTTTTTTCCTCACCTGAAGACATTTTTGCATTTATCTTCAGATAGAGCAGGAGAGAAAGAAGGGGAAAGAGAGAGAGAGAAACATCAACGTGAGAGAAACATATTGACTGGTTGTCACCCACACGACCCCAACCGGGGCCGGGGACAAACTGTAACCGAGGTTCGTGCCCTTAGCGGGACTGAACCCAGGACTCTCTGGTCCGTGGGCTGACGCTCTAACCGCTGAGCCAAACTGGCTAGGGCTTAAATGTCTATAAACCCAATTACTGATATTTATAAGTACACAGATTTCATGAAGGTTTTATATTTTAAGGTAAGCTTTCTAAAAAGCACAACTGTGCCCAGAGCAAGCTGGACCCACCGGGCCTTCAGATGGAGCAGCAGTGTACCTTGGGAACTATGGAAGTCATCCTCTCGCTCCTTCTGGCTGGAACTTGTACTCCTAGGAGGGTTGCTCAAGTCCCACTCACATTCAGCAATGAGGTTCAGGACTGCCTCATCATCTGCATCCATGATCAAGCACTTCTTGGCTGAGGGGTCAGTGCACTTAGTTCTGGAATGGTTCAGCCTGCAAAGCAAAACCAACTCAGTGCTGTTGCTCCAACCGGGGTGCACTCCAGTCCCAGCAGACCCCGTGAGTGCCTAGCACAGTCACAGGGCACTTGGTCTTGGTGTATAATTCTTTTTTAAATTTTTTAAATATGTTTTTACTGATTTTTTTAGAGAGGGAGACAGATAAAAACATCGATGTGAGAGAGAAACAGTGATCAGCTGCCTCCTGCATATGCCCTACTGGAAATCAGGCCCACAACCTGGGCATGTGTCTTGACCGGGAATCAAACCGGGACCTTTCCATACATGGGAAGATGCTCAATCCACTGAGCCACACCAGCCAGGCTATAATTATTTTTATTCATTGTTGGATTCAGTTTACTAATATTTTGTTGAGGATTTTTGTATCTGTGTTCATGAGAGAGAGTTTTCTTGCTTTATCTTTGTTAGTTCTGTTTTCTTCACATTGATGTTTCTCTCTCTCAAATCAATAAAAAACAAAAACAAAAACAAAACCAACCAACCAAACAAAACACCCACATCCTCAAGTGAGGATTAAATAAAGTTTTATTGGAACAGTTATTTCTTTATGTATTGCCTATGGCTACTTTCATGCAACACAGGCAGAGTTTAGAAGTTGAGACAGAGATCATATGGTCCACAGAGCTAAAAATATTCACTCTTCGAATTTCTGGCCAATATGGCGGTGTAGGTAAACACAGTACTTGCCTTCTCCCATAACCGCATCAAAATTACAACTAAACTACAACATGGCCATCATTCAGAACCACCTGAAATTGAGCTGAATGGAAGTCCTACAACTACAAATTAAATAAGCCAAATCAAGATTGGTAGGAGAGGTGGAGATGCAGAACAGGCTGGTCCCACATCCACGTGTGGCAGATAAAAATCAGGAGGTCCCCCCCCCCCGAGAAGCAAGGGGTCCCAGCCCCAAACAAGGCTCCCCTGCCCAGGATTCCAGTGCCAGATAGAGAAATCCCCAAAATTTCTGGCTTTAAAAACTAGCAGGGACTGAGGCTGAGGGAGACAGAGGGCTTCTGGAGTCCCAGGTAGTTCTCCTAAAGGGCCCACACACAAGCTTACTCAAACTCATTTCCACTGAGCTCCAGCATGGGGGCAGCAACTTGAAAGGAATTGAATTGTTTGGCATCAGGGTGAAAGCTGGAGGGGCAGCTTTTTCCCAGACAGAAGTGCTGGCAGTAGCCAGTGTTCCTTTGAAGAGCCCTTCCCCCACAGAACCAGCAGACAGGTGCCATATCTGAGTCTCCATCAACTTGGCTCACACTGTTTGCCCCACGCTGGTGATTCCCTGAGGTCTTGCCCCACCCAGTTTTTGGGGACAATCAAGCTGTTTCCAGTAGCTTTTCCATACAAATGGCCAGTCTTAGCTCATGCTTCAGATATTCCTAAAATCTCTCAAACAAGCAGCATTTGGCCTCAGTGAGCCCCCGTATCTCTCTAAGTGGCCCCATGCCCTAGCAGCAGCCAGCCTTGGTTCACAGCTTGGCCTTGCCTGGGCATCTCCAAGCCCAACACATGAAGCAGCTATCTGCAGACTGCTTTGTAGCTTATGTAGGATGGCCCCGCACAGAACACAGGGGGTGGCTCACCTTGGCCTGCACCTCCCAGGAGGCCCCAGAACCAGTGCATTCAGTGGACAGTTTCAGACCACGCTGAAACATCACCACCCAGCCACCTCCACAAGTGACACACTCAAGGGGTGGACTCATCAGGCACCAGAGCCCTGCTGAATTAAGTCCTGTTCTGTGTGGCGGGCCCATGCACAGTTGATCCTCCAAGGTGGCTGGAGTTCTGTGGTCAGTGGTCAAAGCCAGTTCTTGGAGCTGATCAGCCTGGGTAAGTCCCTCCCATTGACATGCCAACAATAATCGAGGCTCAACTATAACAGGAGAGTGTACAGCTCACACAGGAGGCACATTTCGAGTACCTAGCTTGAGTGATCAGGGAGGCTGTGCCAATGGACACCTAATACATTAGGCCATGCTACCAAACCTGGTAGACATAGCAGCTCTACCTAATACATAAAAAAAAAACACAGGGAAGCTGTCAAAACTAGGAGACAAAAAACATGGTCCAAATGAAAAAACAGAACAAAACTCCAGAAAAAGAACTAAACAAAGTGGAGATAAGCAATCTACTAGATGCATTTGGTTATAGACCAGCTGGTGTGGCTCAGTGGTTGAGCGTTGACCCATGCACCAACAGGTCGCCGGTTCCATTCCTGATCAGGGCACATGCCCAGGTTGTGGGCCAAATCCCCGGTGGGGGGCATGCAGGAGGCGGCCAATTGATGTTCTCTCTCAGTGATGTTTCTAACTCTCTCTCCCCTTCACTTCCTCTCTCTCTAAAATCAATAAAGGAAAAAAATTTTTAAAGAAACTACATTTAGTTATAAAGGATGCTCAATGAACTTAGTGAGAACCTGAACAGCATAAAAAAGAACTAGTCAGAAATGAAGAATACACTAACTGAAATAAAGACTAATTTACAAGGAATTAACAGTAAAGCAGATGAAGCTGAGAATCAAATCAGCGATTTGGAATATGAGGAAGCAAAAAACACCCAATCAGAACAGCAAAAAGAAAAAAGAATCCAAAAACAAACAAACAAAAAATGAGGATAGTGTACAGAGCTTCTGAGACAACTTCAAGCATACCAACATTCGCATATGGGGTTATCAGAAGATGACAAAGAGTAAGAAATTGAAAACCTATTTGGAAAAATGACAGAAAACTTCCCTAAATTGGTGAAGGAAGTAGACATACAAGTCCAGGAAGCAGAGTCCCAAACAAGATGAACCCCAAAAGGCCCACACCAAGACATCATAATTCAAATGCAAAAGAGAGAATCTTAAAAGCAGCAAGAGAAAAGCAGTTACTTACCTACAAGGGAGCTCCCATGACTTTTGTAGGCAAAAAAAATTGGTAAAAAATATTCAAAGTGATGAAAAGCAAGGACCTACAACCAAGATTACTCTACCCTGCAAAACTATCATTTGAAATCGAAGGACAGATAAAGAACTTTACAGACAAGAAAAAATTAAAGTTCATCATCACCAAACCAGTATTATGTGAAATATTAAAGGGTCTTCTTTAAGATAAAAAATATGAACAATAAAATGGCAATAAATACATATCTATCAATAATTGAATCTAAAAACAAAATAAACAAACAGAACAGAAACAGACTCATGGATACAGAGAACGTTTTGTTGCTGCCAGATAGGAGGGAGGTTGGGTGAAAAAGGTGAAGGGATTAAGAAGTATAAATTGGCCCTGGCCAGTTTGGCTCAGGAGCTGGAGTGTGGGCCTGGGGACCAAAGGGTCATGGGTTCGATTCCCAGTCAAGGGCATGTACCTGGGTTGCAGGTTCAATCCCTGGCACCGGTTGGGTGGTGCAGGAGGCAACCAACTGATGTCTCTCTCACATTGATGTCTCTCTCTCTCTCTCTCTCTCCCCCCCCCCCTTCCTCCCTCCCTCCTACTCTCTCTAAAAAAAAAATCAACAAAAAAATATCCTGGGGTGAGGATTAACAAAAACAAAACAAAACAAAGAAACCCCAAAAACTTCATTCAAAACAAAATGGTGCAGTACATAATCCTAGCACATTACAAGAAACAAAGTTTATTGACTTTTGCCTTTAGAATCAAACTATACACAAAGCATGAAGACTCTTCATGGCTTCAGAACATTTAAATACTATCAACCCTGACAATCTAAAGTAAAACCTAAAGATGCAGATGGCAGGAGCAGGGAGGCATAGACAGCACAGATGAGCATGTGCTCCCACAGCCCCACCAGAGCAGAGCCTGGAGCAATGGCCACAAGAACACTGAGCAGAGAATACAGGAGGGGCATAGTCCACAAACTGTCACCATGGGGTGGGGAAGGGGCTATGGCAGCTGTCAGGTCCTGCTTCAAGTGTGCACACCCAGAAATGGCAATCCACTTGTGTTATCTGGGAATGAGGAAGGAAGCAGAGACAATTAGAGAAGTGAACGAAAGTGGCTGCTCTTAGGAGTGGGCCAAGCGGTGGGCAGAGGGGACTGCTGTTTCTCAAGTCTTCTGTGCTATTTATTTTACATGTATTTCTTTAATAAACATTTTAATATTTAAAAATAATTTGCAGAACATGTGGACAACAGAGAGAAAAAGAGGGGAAAGAGAGAGAGAGACTCCGTCCCACTGTCTCCTTGAACCCTGGCTGGTATTTGGGCATTTCTCCTTCCCTCTTTTCCTGCATGTCTGCTCTTTAAGTGGTGATGTGTACAAAAACATTTACATCTTTTAGTTAATACAGAGCTTTATATCTTTTAGTTAGTCATTCTATGAATAGATAAGCCTGAGCTTCTTTCCACATTCAAACACCACTCATGTTCATACCTTCCAACTCTGCAAGCAGTTGGGAAGTTGTGTATGGTGTCGAGTGATTCCTCTGAAGCAAAATGCAGCTGGGATGCTTTCCGCTCGCTCTCTCTCACAGGGCGGTTATCTAGGGAGAAATGCCAGAGAAACGAGCAAACGACACCATGAAGCAGGCATGAAGCAGGCGCACCTTCCAATACCCCATCACCACTCTATAGCACACCACACATGACCAGGGCTGCCATGGCTTGTTCCGGACCTTCTGTCCCCACGGGGCTGACCCTGCCATAGCATCTCCCTCCCATAAGCACTGAGTAGACCCAGTACAGGGATGCTCGGCTCTGGTAGCTACACTTAGTTTCTCAGAGATGCTGAGTGCTGATTTCGAGAGGACTGCCCTGCTCTCACAAAGTTCACTCCTCAGACACTGCTTTGGAGGCAGGCTCCTGCTGCAGGAAAAGAAATACACATACAAGTTCACACACAGGCAAATCCTTCTGGGCTCCCTTCTTTTTTTTTAAATCCTCACCTGAGGATATTTTTCCATTTATTTTCAGACAGAGTGGGAAGGAAGGAGGGAGAAGGGGAGGGAGGGAGGTGGGGAGAGAGAGAGAGAGAGAGAAACATCGACGAGAGAGACACATCAATCGGCTGCCTCCTGCTTGACCCCACCCAGGGCAGGGGACTGAACCACAACCAAGGTACGTGCCCTTGACCGGAATCAAACCCGTGACTCTGCGGTCCACAGGGCCAATGCTCTAACTACTGAGCCAAACCAGCCAGGGCTGAGCAACCTTCTTTTCTTTTTAAATTTTTTTTTCTTTCTTTATTTTAGACAGAAAGGAAGGGAGAGGGAGAGAGAGACAGAACATCGATAAGAGAGAACATCGACTGGCCGCCTCCTGCATGCCCCCCACTGGAGATTGGGCCCACAACCTGGGCTTGTGCCCTGACCAGGTATTGAACCGGCGACCTCTTGGTGCATGGGTCGATACTCAACCACTGAGCCACACCGCCCAGGCTGAGCTCCCTTCTTTTAATGTACATTTTGGGTGTTTCATGAGGTTCTCGAACCACACTGAGCCCACCCAAGAATCTCCGTAGGTTAGGATCCTGAACACGTTAAAGAGAGAAGACATCCTAGCTGCTGTGTGTTTATGCCTGGCATTTGCATCCTCAGATCCTCAGGACTGGAAAACAGAGAGATAAGTTTAAACTGTCCCCACATGCGTGCCCTGGGTCTCAGAGGCCTCTACTCAGCAATTCCCAGACTTCCCTCAGGAAGTACTGAAGATGAGGTGGTTCCCAAAACGCTGAAAGCCAGTGCTGTGGAACTGGCAAAAACTGAGCACAGAATTAATGTTACAAACAGTGGTTAAGTTCTGAAGCTGCGTCTCAAAGAGCATTTAACATGAGCCACAACCCAAAAAATACATAATTTCAATAAGAAATGAGTAAGTGAATAATAGTACATATAAAAATCACTTTCAAAACAGAAAAACAAAGAAGCTGTGAAGTGCATCCAGAAGTGTCTGTGCACTGGGGCTCTTCCTTGAGATACAGCTGCCTTCCTAATCTTACTCCTGTCCATGTCCTGTCCTCAGTGACACTCCCCACCCTCATCCTTGAGACATGGTCTGGGACCTCCTGGCCTCTGATCTTCCCACATGCCCTAAACACATGCTTTCATGGTGTAGACACTCCTTTGTGCTAACAACACACAGCTCTACTCACTGAGCCTTAACTTCGCTTTTGAATGAGTTCCAAATCCCTTACTCTAAGAATATTTCTCTGGACTGTTGCACTACAAATTCAAACTCAATATGGCTAAAATCAAATGCAAACTCATTCTCCCCAAAACTACTCTCTCCTGACTATGCTATGTTTTCCCAGACCCCATAATCCCTAGACCCATATGGGTTGCTTGCTCTGCTCCCTGACCCACTTCCACCCCAGGGGCCCTCCACATCACCCCATACGCCCCACTGCTGTTCTCCGCACCCCTCCAGAGCCTTTCAGTTATTCACTCGGAACAAACGACTAAGCTCCGATCTTAGTGAGCACCCTATTAGGTAAGGTGGGCCATGAGTCCTGCAATGACTTTAATGTTCAAATACGTTCCTTTTTCATGTCTGAAAATATCTTTCCCATGTGGAAAGACTCTCATATCCCTTCTCTATACAAACATTAAAAGACTCTTAACCTAAAAGCCTTATGACAAAGGAAAAGTAATGGTTTAAGACAGAAAATTTCCCATAAGGATCATAATGCTTCTAAGAGCCAAATTCAGCTACTTATAAGTTAATTAGAGTCAAAAGTTAGAACAAAAGCACTTTTTCCTCCAAAATACCTAAAAATTAAGATGAAACATCGAAATCCTAAGTAGGTTTGACATTGAACAGTGTGCCTTTGGGGGTTAGTCATTAACACCCACAATTCAGTCCTGCTCCCAGCCCAGGCAGAGCAGAGGGACTGGGGGATAAGCTGACACACGTGCGGCTGAGCTGTGCTTACATTCGCTCACAGCCAAGAGACACAGAACATGGGTTTCTACAGGCACTGGCTGGACACGGACAGAACAGTAGCAGCAGTCTGCCCACAGCTCAGTATTTACCACAGGCACAGTGATGGACCAGTGTCTTTCCCTGACAAATGCTGCCCTGAGGTGGGTCTCACTTTGGTTTCATTAGGTCAGAACACAGGAGATGGAGATGCCCCAACTGCCTTGCCGAGAAGTGAATGTACCTGCAGACTGAGGACATGCTGTGATCACTGGGACACATGACAGCACCCTTCAATCAGACATTCCTGCATTACAGCTATCCAGCACTTACCACCACCCTTCACACAGGAGGACTAGGATATGAGGCCCCAAGCCCTCCCTTCCCATGACCTGCACGGTCAGTGCATTCTGGACTCATGCTCCAGCTCTCTCCCCTTGAAGTGCGGCATATGGGAGCATCAGAAGCACCAGTGCCCACACTGCTCATGGCAAAGACTCATCCTGGTAGATGGGGAAGCAGGTGGAAAGGTGTTAATGTGGCTTCGCTGAGTGTGCCCCTGACTGGACATGTCCAGTTGGCAAACTGCAAGCTCTGCCCGTAAGCCTGTCACAGAGACCCATTTCTTTTAGCGACATGGCTTACTAAACCCAAATGGGGGCTGTAACCACCAACAGAACAACTTCATCCTCTCTCATCCCTATCACCTGTGGCAGGGTGTGGCACAATGAACTTCTAGTCCCGTATCTTTCTAGGTAGATGTGAAACCAGAAGAATCCAGCTGTCCAGCTGAGCCTGAGATGATGCCCAGAGGCCTTGCACGGAAACAGGGCACCAGAAGTTCAGGAACATGCCCGAGTCAAGCAGCTAGACAGCAAAGCCAGAATGAGACTGAGCAGTTCAACCCACACCTGTGCTCCTGGCATCCCGGTAATTATCTGTGGCCCTGCTCCTGTCACCTTCCCAGACGACTCTCCTACAAGACTGATCCTGTGATAAGGGACTCAAGCCATCAGAATAGAGTAACTTCCCTTTTCAGGAAGATCAACGCTGTGATAGATCTGACAGCATCATACACTAGTCAGGGCTCCACTGAGCAAGGGTGTGAGCACACTGCACCTACCCAGCTGCTTCAGCTTTGGAAGCATGTGCACAACAAAGAGGCGGTAATCAGACTCATTCTTCACCACAGGGTTCAGTCGGAAGTCCACGTCCGTGAGCTCAGTCAAGCAGTGGAGCCGGAACACTTCTGCTAGCGAGGAAATGCAGTTGTAGTAGAGATTGAGGCTTTCCAATGTAGCCAGGTACTGAATGCCCTATTAAGAGGACAACATGCTGAATAAGTTTATGCTTTTAAAAATAAACACACTGTAAATGGGCCATCAGTACAAACTGATCAATCAACTTAACAAATGCATTTATAATAAATAACATACTGTTACAGGAAGAGCATAAAGATGAAATGTGCTCTTGTCTACCAATTTCTGTCCTACACACAGTGATATGACTGTTCATGGAGGTTTGCAACAGTGACTACTAAGGACAGCTGGTGTTCTCAGTATGTGCCAAGCCAAGTGATTTACACAGACAACTTCATTCCACTGCACACAACCCTACAGGGTAAGCCCTAGTACTGCTCCCATTTCACAGATTAGAAAACTGAGCCTTGGGGGGGGGGGGTGTTGAGAGATAAGCCAGCACTGGGTGTAGCCTGGATTGGAACTCGCCTCTGACTCTGAGCAGATAGACTCCTGACCCCCATGTCAGGGGCACTGAAAGTATTGTGTTCCAAGGCAGTGATGTCCTGCCTTTCTTTCAGGCAAGAACTCCTCTCTATATTAGCCACTTGCCATCACCCGGGTAACTTCTTACTCACTCACCAAGACTGAGCCCCTGCCAGGTCTGGCCTCCTGCAGCAAGCCTGCTACTTGTGGCCCTGCCATTCAAGGACCTGTGGCCACCAACAGGCAGACTCTAAAGAGAGGTGCAGTGCAGAAAGTGGATGAAGAAAAACACAGCTGATAGAGGGATGGAGAATGATGGGCACACACACATTAGTCTTTTGGGCCTTATTTTATTTCTTACAACTGTCTTCATCAGAGAGCTAAGACTTTTGGCTGTCAAAGTAGTTTAAAGATGTAATATGATGCATAAAAAATCTAGTACATAGTAAACACAAGAAAAACAACCCTGGGTTTAAATCATAAAGTGTACAATTTACAAGTATTAGAGGCACAGTAACAAAAAAGATTGCATTTTTAATTATAAATACATTTTCAATTGCTATTAATAGCTATTTATTAATAGCAATAAATTTTCTTTTAAGAAACAAACCTAGCCTGTCTGGAGTGGCTCAGATGGTTGAGCATTGTCCCGTGCACCAAAAGGTTGCTGGTTTGATTCCTGGTCAAGGCATACACCTGGGATGCGGGTTTGATCCCTAGTTGGGATGTGTATGGAAGGCAACTGATGGATGTCTCTCTCTCCCCTTCCTCTCTCTAAGCATGTCCTCAACTGAGGATTAAAAAATAATAATAATAAAATAAAACCTCTCAACTTCCTTCTTTAAAAAAGAAACAAAGAAACAAACCTAAAACTTACCTCTAGACTAACCAAGGAGTTGCGTGAGAGATCTAAAGATTTTAGACCTGTTAAATTCATCAAAGAATTTCCTAGGTGAGTAATCTTTTCTTGGTAAGTTCCAGGAATAGATAATGCCCGAAGTTCAGCTAAGAATAGAAAATTATGAGATTTTAACCTTATTTTTTTAATTGAAATAAATCATCATAAAAGTGTGATACTGTAATCTCAAGAACAAGAATTACATATAAAGTTTTAGCTTATGTTCACCTGCAAAATGTCTGCGAACTCCTGCCTGCTCCTTACCTCAATGCCCCTTAGTCCAACACCCTGTCACCAGGCACGCTCTACTGATTGGGCTCCCACTTCCACTTCTGGCTGCTCACCCCACTGCTTGTGTAGCTTCCATGCAAGGGTCACTACTTAGCTGACCTGGCCACTCCATACACATTACACATGAGGGCAGACTGTATGCTCTATGCACTGTATACTGCATTATTTACAATAGCCAAGATATGAAAGCAACCCAGGTGCCCAACAATAGATGAGTGGATAAAAAAGCTGTGGTACAGGAGTGAGCAAAAGTAGGTTTCCAGTTGTTCAAGTAGGTTTCCAGTTGTTCATATGGAAAAAGACATGTAGGTTATGATTATTACAATAGCTTTATTAACTCAAAAGAATGTCACTCACAATTGTAAGCCTACTTTTGCCAACCTGTATATACAATGGAATATTACTCAGCCATAAAAAGAATGAAATCTTAACATCTGTGATAGTATGAATGGACCCAAAGGGTATTATGCGAAGTGAAATAAGTCAGTCAGAGAAAGACAAATAGCATATTATTTCACTTACATGTGGAATCTAAAGAACAAAATAAATAAAATTGAAACAGATCCATAGATACGGACAACAGACTAATGGTTGCCAGAGGGGAGGAGGATTGAGGAACTGGGTGTAAAGGTAAAGGGACTGACAAGTACAAATTGGTAGTTACAAAATAGTCATGGGGTGTGCAGTACAGGATAGGGAATATAGTCAATAATATTATAATAACTATGTATGGTGCCAGATGGGTACTAGAAATATCCAGAGGAGAACTTTGCAAAGTATGATTGTCCGACCACTTTTTTAATTGAAATAAATCATCATAAAAGTGAGATATTGTAATCTCAAGAAAAAGAATTACATATAAAGTCCTGTACACATGAAACTAATACAAATTAATATTGAATGTACACTGTGTTTTAAAATGGTCATGCAATGAATGCCCTGGGTTGGTTTGGGTTTTTTTGTTTGTTTGGTCTCCTATACATCCCAATCTGAGTGCCAAAGAAGCTGTTAACCCAGAAACTCCAGTGGACACTGACAAAAAAATAAGGGTAAGCCTGCTGCCACCCAGGAGGAGGAAGCCTTGCAGAACAGACTCCTGACAACATCAGCCCCACTCCAGTCCAACACCAAGAGAAAAAGATGCACCTCATACACCTGGTCTTGCACAGGGGCTGTGTGAGTGGACCCTGACTACTATCCTAGCCTGGTTGGAATGAGGTGGCCTGCAGAGGCCATTATGTGTGGCAGAAGACTGGCTATCACCTCAACCAGGCAGTATCCAACCAGTGCCAGTAATGAGCAATGAGATTTAAACAGAAAGCAGAGTCTCATCACTTAATATCCAAGATGTCCATGATACAATAAAAAATTACCAAGAACTAGTAGCATCTCAATTTGAATGAGAAAAACAAAACAAAACAATCAATAGACATCAACACTGAGATGACAGAAATCAGAATTATCTAACAAGGATTTTAAAGCAACTATTATAAAAATAATTCAATGAGCCCCTACAAACACTCTTGGAGCAAATGAAAAAACAGGAAATCTTGGCAAAGAAACACTATAAAGAAGAAACAAAGAGAAATTTCAGATATTTGAAAAGAGAATCTGTCAACAGCACACTTGCCCTAAGAGAATTGCTAAAAAACAACAACAACATAAACCTCTTCAAACTTAAATATACAAGAAGGAAACTTGGAACATTAGAAATGAAGAAAAAATAATGGATAGGTAAACATGTGAATAAAGCCCTGGCCGGTTTGGCTCAGCGGTTAGAGCGTCAGCCTGCGGTCCGGAGAGACCCGGGTTCGGTTCCCGCTAAGGGCACGTACTTCGGTTGCAGTTTGTCCCCGGCCCTGGTTGGTCGTGTGGGTGGCAGCCACTCGATGTGTCCCTTTCACATCGATGTTTCTCTCTCTCTTCCTCTCTCTCCCTCCCACTCTATCTGTACAAAAAATGGAAAAATGTCCTCGGGTGAGGATAAAAAAAAAAAAAAAAAAAAACAAACAAAAAAAAACATGTGAATAAATATGTTTCCTTCTGAGTTATTTATTTATTTTTAATCCTCACCAGAGGATAATTTTCTATTTATCTTCAGATAGAGTGGGAGGAAGAGGGAGGGAGAGAAAGGGAGAGAGAGAGAAACACAGACAAGAGAGGGACACATCGATTGGTTGCCTCCCGCACAACCCCAACCAGGGCCAGGGACAAACTGCACCCGAGATATGTGCCCTTGACCAGAATCCAACCCTGGACTCGTTGGTCCACAGGCCAACACTCTAACCACTGAGCCAAACCGGCCTGGGCCCTTCTGAGTTATTTAAAATGTTGGATGACTATAAAAAAACAACAACATATCACTGATGTAGTTCTCAAACTACGTACAGGAAATATTTAAGACAACTAAAATATAAAAGGGAGATGATAATGAAACCTAACATGCTGAGGTTTCTCCATTTCACCTGAGGTGGTAAAATGTCCACACAAGTAGACTGTAATTTGTAATACAACCATTAAAAAAGCTATCAAAGAGATATGCTCAGAAATATAAAAGACACATCAAAATGGAAAACTAACAAATATTCAAGTAAACCACAGGAAGGCAGGAAAAGGGAAACAACACAAGAACAATGAAGAGAGTAAAAAACAAATAGTAAAATGCCATACTTAAGCCCTACTATCTTTATAATTACATTAAATGTAAATGGTCTAAACACACTATAAAAGACAGAGATTGGCCGAGTGTATTAAAACGAACGAACTAGCCCTGGCCGGTTTGGCTCAGCGGTTAGAGCGCCGGCCTGCGGTCCAGAGAGACCCGGGTTCGGTTCCCGCTAAGGGCATGCACCTCAGTTGCAGTTTGTCCCCCGCCCTGGTTGGTCATGCGGGTGGCAGCCATTCGATGTGTCATTTTCACATCGATGTTTCTCTCTCTCTTCCTCTCTTTCCCTTCCACTCTATCTGAACAAAAAAAATGGAAAAATGTCCTCAGGTGAGGATAAAAAAAAAAAAACAAGTAAAATGAATGAACTATACACTGTCTACAAGTAACTCATTTCAAATATAATGATATAGGTGGGTTAAAATATTAAAAAGTAAATAGATGGGGAAAGATATGTCCTGCAAACACCCAAGTACAGCTTAAGTGGCTACTAATATCAGAAAAAGTAGATGTCTCAACAAAGTTATTATGCTACAAGAGTCACTCCAAGAAAACAGAAAAATCCTAGTTTGCAACAAATAGCACGTCTTCAAGACACAGGCAGTGAAGAGACACAGATCCACAATTATAGTCAGGCCCAGACCTCAGCCCCTCGCACTCACCTACCCCCACCTCACCGCTCCCACCCACCCATCTCCACATCCCCCCTCTTCCCCGCACAGGCCCCCACTCCCAGCCCTCCGCCCTCACCGCCTCCTTTGCACACGCCCCCTCGGAGCCCCCACCCCTCACCAGCCAGGCCTGTGACCGTTTGGGAACCGCTCAGTCCGTGTGGGGCGGGTCTCCAGCCTGACCTGGACCCTCTGCCGGGAAGCTCGCGTCCTCAGCCAGCGCCCCCCGCCCACCATCCGGCCGGCCAGCCGCCACGCACCTAGATCGCGGTGAGGGGAGAAGCCGCTCTTCTCCCTGATCTTCTCTTCACACAGCACCAACCGCTGCCCCGCCGGCGCCATGCTTTCAAGCAGCAAGCACCTGGACCTGCGCCTGCGCAGTTTGGCCGCGGAAGGCCGCCAGGGGTGGGCCTAGGGCGTGGGCGGGGCCGGGAGCCGGGAGAAGGCGGGGCCTCCGAGGGGCGGGGCCAGGTGCTGGGATAGGGCCGAAAGGTGTGGCCAAGGACCTGCAGGGGTGGGGCAAATGGCCGAGCCTCTGAGAGACCCGGGGAGGATTGGGCCGGGCCACCTGCCCCAGGGTTGGGTTGAGTTGGAGCTTGTCCTAGGGCGCGGGGCGGCGACCCCGGCTTGCTCTGCCCACGACGCCCCTGGAATGCTGCTCCTTCGTGGGCGCATGCCCGTAGGGAACGCTCCACCTGGAGACCCGCCTCACCTGGGGACCCCACGGGTCCCCATCCTTGCCCGCGTCCTGGGCGGAACGCCCCGCACGTGGAGTCGTAATTCTCTCCCTCCATAGTCACTCGGTGGCGGCCAGTCCTTCTCCGTCCCAGTCCTCAACTTCCCGAAGATCTCTGGGGTCCGATCTTGCGGGTTACCCGCTAACCGAAAAACTCGTTGCGTGCCTGACCCTCTGGGCATCGTAAGGAGCCTCTAAGATCTGCAGGATTTAGGGAAGATCCCATTACCTGTCTCTTTCCACTTTTTTTATGGTGACAAATCTAGTTGGGTGTTGTTTTGAAGTTTCTTTTGAGATGCTCTTGAGTGAGTCCAGAGTGCAAAACCACGTGGTTTCCCACCTTCCATTTCGGGTCTGAATTTGCCCCACCCAGGCGGCGCGCCCTGGGTGCTCCTCTCTACCCTCCTCCTGGTGTCTGAGGGCTCCCCTGCTCCCCCTCACCTCAGATTTAAACAATTTGTTGGTAATGTCCCCTACCATGTCACAGCTCAGGTGGTGGAGGCGTAAAGGGGTGGGGTGCAGCGTGGGTCATGTAGGGTGCCCCATCCTAAGCAGAGTAGATTAAAAACAGGTGCACAGCCCTGGCCGGTTTGGCTCAGCGGTTAAAGCGTCGGCCTGTGGTCCTGAGAGACCCGGGTTCGGTTCCCGCTAAGGGCGCGTACCTCGGTTGCAGTTTGTCCCTGGCTCTGGTCAGTCGTGCGGGTGGCAGCCACTCGATGTGTTCCTTTCACATCGATATTTCTCTCTGTTCCTCTCTCTCCCTCCCACTCTGCCTGAACAAAAAATGGAAAAATGTCCTCGGGTGAGGATACAAAAACAAAAAACAAAAAAAAACTGATGCACAGTCCTCCCTCATTTATCGTGACTGGAGACACTCAGTAACATTGGGTCAAGAATGTCCTGTAACACAGTCTGTCCTGATGCTGCTCCTCAGCCCTCTTCCTATAAGACTGGAGGGATTCCAGCACACCTCAGGCCAGCTTGTGGACACCACACCAGGTTTCCACTGAGTGGAACTTTGTGCAGCCAGGAGACTTGGAAAGTGAACAAATATCCTTGCTTTTCAGAAGCAAACAAAGGCAGACAAAAGGCTTCTGTTGGCCCCAACACAAGACAAGTAGCTTGTCAGGCACAGCCCACACTCCAAACACCTGCTGCTTCCTCCTCCCTGTGGTCACTTCAGGTCAGGTGGCCCAGTCTTTGAGGCCGAGCAGTGGAGAACAGACCTCTCTGCTCATGTCCTGTGGGACAGCACCACACAGTGTTTCTAATGTAATGGAAGTGCCAACAAAAACTTTGAAAATCATGTTTTCTGTTACTAAAGTATTGCATATTCATTGCAGAAAAGACAAAAAAATTCAGAAGACAGAGATTAAACATTTTACCACCCAGAGATAATCAGTGTTAACACTTTAATAGGTATCCTTCAGGGATGTCTTCCAAGCCTGTGTGTATTTAACAGTGATGAGATTATGCTGAGCATTCTCATAGATACATATTTTTTTGCTTTTGATGAACAGTTACTAAATATTCTTCAACATCATTTATTAAACATCATTTTTAATGGTCATATTAGATAATGAACTAAACCCGGATTTATTGAACCTATTTCCACTTCTTTATGGTGACAAATCTAGTAGGGTATTGTTTTGAAGTTTCTTTTGAGATGCTCAGGAGTTAGCCCAGAGTGTGAAACCAGGTGGTTTCCCATCTTCCCCAAGACTCAGGAGCTTATCCCAGGTCCTCAGAGCCAGAGCTGCTGAGGGAACCTATGTTCACCTGAAATGTGTGTTAGCTACTACAAGTTGTCATCTCAGCATCGTGAGAAAAGCCAGCACTCTTATTTCACTGACAAGAAAACAGTGGCCAACTGGGCAGTTTGACTAAAAATCAATGTCATAATAGAGCATAGCCTCACCTATGCTTCTGCATCAGGCCCACAAAATGCAGGGAGCTCCCATGAGCCTGAAGATGAACCCACACACTCACATCTCCCCTGTGTCCACTGACAACTCACACACATGCACATTCGTGCACTCACTAACATCAGTGCACACTCTTAGGCAGGCACTCAGTCATATACCCAAATGCACACTTGCACACACTCACACAGACCTCCAGGGCCAGCACACAGAGCTCCAATTCAGTGGGTCTTTCCCAGCTGCGTGGTAGGAACAGCCCTTGGTTACTCATGAAGCATGGTTGAGTCCAAGTGCTCTGTGGGCTCACCCTGACCCTGGATGAAGTAGATAATGAGCAGATGCACCTGAGAAATTTCTCATTCATGGGTCTGTGATCGTTGCTGCTCCCAAGTCTCTAGGGAGGCAGGGGAGGCCATCAGCCCAGGGAGCAGGTCCTCCCCACCTTCCTGTCCCCCCACCAAAGCTTTTTTGGGAAGCATATGATCAATGACAGCTTTGCAGTGGATATACTTCCTTCTTGTGGTGTCATTCGTTCATAAATGTTGAACAAAAGAGCCCTTTCCCTAGCTGCATTTCTAATTGTAAAGTTCAACATCAATATTTGTGAATGGTCAATGTGTCATTTTAACAACTAACTTCTCTCCAAAGTGTGGAATGAACTGGGATGCAAAGCCCTTTCTGTGGCTGCTTTAAGGTAAATCTCAAGGGTGGGTTGGGGGCTCATGATAACATCTTGACCTGTAATTAATAATCTTAACACAGAGCTTGAGTCCTGCTTCTTCTGCCTTGTTGAGAACCACAGGGCATCATGTGAGTTCCATCAGCTCATGGGACAGGCTATGGGGTGGCTGCTGTTGCTGGGAGGGAGTCCAGATCTGTGTCTTTGCTTTATGATGAAGCTCTCATTGCATGTGATTCACGCTTCATCCTGGGAAGTGAGATGTCAAAATTAGTGCTTCTCTGCCTGCAAGATCCATAGCTTTAGTGGCTTCCCATGGGACTTGGGGGTCCTGGTCCCTGGGGCAGTAGTCTCCAGAGATGGGGAGGACACACACTCAGCCTGGAGATGTACCCTCATGAGTCATCAGTACAATGGGCATAAGGACACAACACTGTCTGTGTGAAAGGGGAACAGAGCAGGAAGGGGCAGATGAGCCACCCTGTGGAGCATGGAAGGGGATTCACCTGAGAGTGTTTGTAAACATTTTCATCTAGTTGAAAACCCAGCTAGAATAGGCTGCACAAGGACACGAGGCGGGGAGGGTTCATTCAACCTTGCTGATCAGCAACTGAACTTCTCAGTTCCCACGAGGCTAGACGCAAGTCCTTCGACCTGCATCCAGCAGGAGACCCCCCTGCTCCACACCTTGCTCACTGGGCCCAGAAGAGCTTCCCATAGATGCTCAAGTCTCCCATCCCATCTGCCAGCCTACAGTCACTGTGTTCCTGAGCCACCCTGCACTGGGGTGGAGCTTCAGCCCTGGTAAGAGGAATAGAGGTTGGCTGTTTCTTACAGTTGCCAACACACATTTAAAAAAAAAGATTTCTCAGAAAAATTGTGACTTTCAGATCTTTCTGAACATTAGGAGATGTGACAACAAAGCCTGCATTTCTGCATTCCATGGCTCCATCTGGACAGGCCTTGCCAGCTTCTCAGGCATCTCACCCTAGAATACAAGGATAGATGTGCCCATGGCCCTGCACATCATCTGGATCAGCCACCTCCAAGTGGTGGGCAGCTCTCGGACGAGTCCTGGCACACAGCACCCCATAACCACTCTATCTCTGTCCATCCTTCCTGTACACCTGGCATTTTCCAGGTGGGAACTCTCTGTGTGCCACCCCCCATTGCCCCTCATCCTTTCATCTGTGACCCAAGAATTGACGCAGGATCAAGGGGAAGCCCTTAGGGATAGCCCCAGGGTTCCTAGCCCTTCTAAGGACAAGGCCCACTTCTGTAGGGTCTGGAGACCTGTAGCCTGCTCTTACCTATAAGTCTCTAGTGAGCACAGGGCTCAGGACCAGGTGGAATGTGGCCTGGATTCATATATCATCTACCCTACAGCTCATCCAGAGCCCACCCCATTCTAGTCCTTCACCAACAAGCCTAGGTCAGCTGGCTCTAACTGCTCCCCAACAGCTTGCCATTGACCTATACTGACCCTGAAGAGTAAAGTGTGGGTTTACTCTTCCCGCCACCAGTTGCTGTTCCCATTGGGCTTAGAGCCTTCACATGGCGGAGCTTGGTGAGCACAAGGAGAGGCCACACACTGCCACCTTTTGTGGATGGTTGATTACATCCACATTACAGTGGGCAGCATGAAGTGTGGGAACATGCGGGCTGAGATGCAGGTGCGCCTCCTGGGCAGCACAGCTGGAGGCAGTCAGGTTGTCAATGGGGCAGCCGGGCCATGAACAAGCAGGGGTGCTATGGGCAGGCTCGCTGGCTCAGGGGGCCAGTTTCTCATCTCTAAAAAAAGAAAATGAACAAGGCTCATGAGGGGTTCCCAGCACCCTTCGACATTACCTGTCTCCAGCATAGAAGACTGAGAACCTCCCTACATCTCTTACAGGTGTGGTTAGCCAGTTCTGGCTGATGAGAAGTAAGCAAGAGGCAACAGTGGCATTTGGGGTGAAGTTGTTTTTTAATCTATTTAATTATTATTTTTTAAAATATGTTTTTA